ACTTATGTCATATTTTCAACAATACAGATTTTTAAGGTAATAATAATAATAATAATCTCAGGCCCAGAAAGTTATAAGGATTATATGTGAAAGTGTATGTAAAGCAGTAAGTGATTAATACGTTGGCTTTTACTAGGCTATACCTGCTTCTCATTACCATACATCTTCCAAAGTAATACTACCATTAGCTTTTTATCTTATCTGGCTATTCCTCATTCCTTATAAAGTCATAATTTTGTAATGTGGTATAAATATGGCCTTCCACAATTTTGACCCTTATCATTCCCACCTTACCTCCCTCTACTTCCTACTTTCTCTGTACCTCAGTTACAGCATGCTTTTAATTTTTTTAAATACACCATTCTTTTGGACCATTGAATGCCTTTGCCACTATTATTACCTCTTGCTGGACTTTTTTCCTCCTGAATTTCTAACCTATATTGGCACCTATTTTTTTAGCTATCAAACATGCACATCAATTAAAATTTAGCTCAAATATGATGATTTCAACTTTTTTCTGATTTCTCTCAGCAAAGCAAGTTTCTTCCCTATCTATAATGCTAGAAAACTTTCTTCATAACTCTGTAGCATTTTTTCTTATTGGATTGCATTTATTTGTTCATGCCATTTTTCTTCTAGCTCTGATATACCTAATAGTCAAGACTGGACTTTTTACCTTTGTAGTGCCTGTGCTTGTCAGTGTCTTATGTATAGTAGATGCCCAGTAAATTTCAGTTGAATAAAAGTCTCTAAGCTCTTTCTATAGGAGAGGCTGCTCTTTCTGTAGTCATCTTATTTTGTAAGTTAGTGTTGTTATCCCCATTTTAAAGATTACAGAATGAAAGAAAAGTTAATTAGATATCACCAAAATATAATGAGCACAATTACGGTATTTTAGTTAACTTCTTAGCCAACTGCTATTCATATCAAGTCTCATTATATCAGTATATTTATACATTCTTGGTTTTTTATTTCGGTTTTTTGTTTGTTTTAGATTTTTCAGATCCTGTATTCATCATAGAGAAAAGTTTGAGTGTATCAGAAAAAAACTACTACTCCACCAATAGTTAGATTAGGATTATAAAAAAAAACTTTCTAGGGAAGACAAGTTCATAACAGGCAAGATATTTTATTTGAATTCTAGATTTTGTTTACTTATATTTCTTTTCCCCCTAGGGTAATGATGCACCTGTTGAACAAGAAGTTAACAATGCAGAAACGTACTTTGAAAGTGCCAAAGTGGAGTGTGCAATCCAAACATGCCCAGAATTGCTACGAAGAGGTATGTTGTGCTTCTATGCATTTTTCACTAATGTATATTTGATAATGGTACTAATTTTTTAATGTGTTGAATAATGTGCTCCGTAAGAATTGTAATATTTTGTTTTACTTAATATTTTACCATGTCTGGAAGAAAATGATTACATGGCCAAGATAGAGGCTTTCAGATGTACCCTGCTATCTGACCCCATGCCATTGGATAGGCATAGTAGAATTTTTAATAACTTTTTCCCTGTAGCTTTTCCCTAAAGTCATTTCACTCCTCTGTGATTATTACAGCTATAGTTACATGAGCTGATACATAATCATAAGAAAAATCTTAATAACAAACTTTAAAAAAAAAAATTGTAAGACCATAATATGTAACTCTTCAGAATTGTTGTCATTAATATTTCAGTTCATCCAACCAGAGCAGAAGTGAAACAAAATCAAGTTTGTCATCCTTTTAAAAAATAATATGCATTTATGAACCTGAGTTGGTACCACAATAATTTTAACTTAATCATCTTTCTAAAGTGTTTTTATGCACTGATTCTCTTTTTTAAAACCAAATTATTTTCTTCTTGGAATTTTTTTCTTATTTTATTTATAGATTTTCAATCACTGTTTCCAGAAATGGCCACCAACAAACTAATGATTCTGACTGTAACACAGAAAACTAAGAATTATATGACTATGTGGAGTGAGGAGGTAGAAAATGAAAGAGAAATGCTCTTAGAAAAGGTAATTTCTTTCAATTGGTGATAATTTAATTTTATGATTTTATTTAAATAGGAATGAACCAATGTTTTAAAATGCTGGGTGTCTTTTCTAGCCTTTATTAATTCTCTGCTAACTTATTTCATTACTAAAGAGCTTACATTTTTTCTAAGAATATCAGTGCCACAATTTTGAACAATAAGATTCTAATACTTTGCTTAATTCTTTTGAATTTAGTTTTGTTTTAGGGCATTTGGAAAATAGGGTAAAAAAATAAAATACACTATTCATACCCATCTCTCCCTCTGTCTGACCTTCCTTTCTCCTTCCATAGCTCTCTCTCTCTCTCCCCCTCCCTCCCTTCCTCTCCACCCCCCTCTCTAAAGCAGCAGTTCTCAACCTGTGGGTCGCAAACAATGAAAATACATCCTGCATATCAGATACTTACATTACGATTCATAACAGTAGCAAAATTACAGTTATGAAGTAGCAACAAAAATAATTTTATGGTTGGGGGTCATCACAACATGAGGAACTGTATTAAAGGGTTGCGGCATTAGGAAGGTTGAGAACCACTGCTCTAAAGCATGTAAAATAAACAATGAAAATTACCCCAGCCTTCTTCAAGGAGTAAACGGTAACTGTGTCCACTGCAATAATAAAAAACGATATAGTCACATTTTTTTCTGTCTTTTGCTTTTAGTCTGAAGATATGTTTTAACTTTCTATAATATTACACAAAGATAGATTTCATTTTTTGTAAAATCTATATTTACATCCCATGGGCAAACCATACTTTTTTTTAAGTTACTTAAAATTTTCCTTTAGTAACTTACAAGTTGAAAACCAAACTTTTTCTTTTATAGGCAGTGAATATATTTGTACATATATTCTTTATGCACACACTTGTATCTCTAGATTTCTAAATAGGGAAGTGCTAAATTAAGGGGTATGTTCTTTTTAAATTTTGATAGGTGCTGCCAATTTGCCCACGAAAAAGATTGTCTTAGTGTATAAGCTCTCACCCTATCTTACCTTGGATATAAGCGTTTTTTTTTTCATTTTTACCAACCCAAGAAATGATAAGTGACTTAAAGTCTTAAATTTTAAAATTATGTAATTACTTCTCTGAGGGTTTTTTGTTGAGTTGTATCAATTTATTTGTCTGAAAGATAGAAAGAAATATTTCTGTGCCTGTATGACAGGTTAGGAATAACTCACTTGGGTAATCTTAGCTAACTATAGTTTAAAAAATTACCTTTACTAATTTCCTTGCAGGATAATGTTAGGAATTACTGTATATTTTCTTTATATATTGGATGTGTGATTCTCTTCATTTGTAAAAATATAATTTACACAATTAATAGTGTTTTATAATGATGGCTTCATAGTACTTAAAAGTCCCTCGTTGAGCTTTGTTAATAAATTTCATGCAGTAGGCAACAATCTGAGCAAGTTATATGCTAGTTAACAAGGAAATTACAGAGAGGCATTAAGACATTGTTTCTGACTTGTAGAGATCTGAATTTAGAGATTTGAAATTTAAATAGGCATTAACTCAATAAACATTTTTATTTACATTTCAAGGTAATGTTTATTAAATTTATACTTATTACTCTCACTAGAGAGCTCTTGTGTGTATAGCATTTTTTGACCAGTTAAAGATTCTGAACCTCTTTTGATACTAATGCCATTATAGTTGTAAGTCAGTTTTTTATAACCAACTAGTGACCCCGTGCACGGATTCATGCACATTGAAAGGAAATTAATTAGAAGAAATATTTTAATATTGCTCTTCGCCCTTTCTCTATAATAGAAGTGTCAACCAAATTCACGATCAACAATGACAGATCAAAACACACGTGTGCGATTGGCACCAGCGAGAGCTTTATCTGTATCACGCATGTGCGAGTCAATTTAGCCTTTTATATATATACAATAAACTTGCTTAATTAGTCCTGCTTTTTGATTTAGCTAAACTTTTTCCAGCCCAGTGAAGCACCCTAACTTCTCTTTCAGGTAATTGTTAGCAACACAGCAGTAAATATGAACATGAATCAGATTATTATTGTAGATCATGCAGGGGGAACAAAGGGTAAAATATTTAACTGCAGCAGTGTTTGACTATATTCTGCACCGTGAGAAAACCTGAAGTCATTTTCAAGGTCCACCATTTCTTCTTTTCAGTTGGGTCAAGTTTCTAAACTTTCTAAATCCCTGTTTTCCAGCTAATGAAAAGAAAATAGGTTTCTACCGAGTCTCCTATCTACCTACTCCAGGACTTCTGTGAGGATCAAATGAGATGAGGCACGGGAAAAACACTTCACAGATATTTGGTTAAAGTGTGAAATGTTTGCACCTGGCTATAAAGCAAGTCGTGTTCCTGGGCTGAAGAAACTCCAAGGAGGCTAGTTACTAGGGAGAGGAAGCCGGGCGTTGCTACGTGATGCCATTACCCAGCGCCCACAGCCACTATTTCCAGGCTGGGCTGGGCTGTGGGCCACATTTTGTGCCATGGGGTCTCGGCAGCATTGGCTGCGATTTGGTGGGCTGTCGCTCTGGGGTGGTGGCAGGGCCTGTGTCCCACTTGGGGGAAGCCAAGTGCTGCTTTGTTGGTGCCAGGTCCGCGCTGCCGTGCACATCATGGCAGCTCCTGCATTGAGCGTCTGCCCCCTGGTGGTCAGTGCGTGTCATAGCAACTGGTTGGGCGGTCAGAGGGACACAGCATATTAGCCTTTTACTAGTATATATAGACTTCAGGGCTTTGAAATGGTATATGCTTCACCTTGTGATTTTTAGTTTATGGGGAAAAAAACACAGATTTTTCTATTTTAGATACGTTAGTGATTATTTTAGAACCACATGTATTTTCCTGTCCAAATAGGTATTTTATGTTTTATGGTTTAAATGTATTTTTCCAGCAGATTTCAGTATTCAATATTGACGAATAGAAATCTTAAGAGAAATACTTAAACTGGATCTTTTTGTGATAATAATGGGATTCTTTTAGTTAAACATTACAAACATTTGATTGTATTGTTTTTTCTTTCCTTACAGTTTGTGTATAACACCTCTCTGCATGATACTGATATATATTCTAGTGACTTTTCTACATCATTCAGTAGTTTTTCTATTTTTAAGAATTACGAGGATTAATTAAATACAGCAATAAATAGAAATATTAAGTGTGAAGGTAATCTAAAGAACACAGTATTAATGTTTCTCATTAGTTTACAAGAAAGTATTGGGAGAAAATAAGTTAGCTTAAGTTGTATACTAGTACATCTATAGCAGGGGTCAGCAAGCTTTTCCCGTAAAGAGCTAGATAGTAAATATGTTAGGCTTTGTGAGCCAAAGGCTCCAACTATTCAACTTGACTCTTGTATTGCGAAAGCAACCATAGACAGTATATAAATAAATGGGCCTGGCCATGTTCCAGTAAAACTATACACAAACAGGCAGCCATCCAGGTTGGGCCCTCAGGTTATAGCTTGCTAACCCCTTATTTAGGATATAGCCCATATTCCTAAGGTTTTTATTTTTGAGGATATCAACTGAAATCAGTGAAGTCTGTTTACTCTGAGTGGGCCAGGAATCCATATTATGTAGCACTGCACACACCCTGATATCACCATTCGGCTCTCAGTTGGTTCTTTCTGCTTGGCCTCCCAGAATCTCACCATGTGCGTGCACAGCTCAGCTCTTGACTATAGAACCAGTCAATTGCGCTGCAAACTACCTGGAGCCTTGTTTGCTTATCTCCCTCTTCAGTACCTATTCCACAAATTCCATATGCTTCAGCAGTCCATAATTGTTTTCTACTACCTCCTCAGTGCAGTGACACCATTATTTGCTTGGAATCCACTTCTTTGCCTGATGACTAGAGCGTATACCCAGACAAAACTGAAAAATATGGGGAATCACCTCATCTTTTCTCCATCTGTCAAAGATAACAGTTTTGTCTGACTGTTATTCAGGACCTAAAAATAGTTGCCTCATATATTTTTGTCACTTTTATAGTTTTCAGCAGATGACAAGTTTGGTACCTATTACTGTTATTGCTGAAAGTGGAACTATACCCCATTTTTTAAAAATAGGTATAAGTTAATCTTTTTTATTGATTTCAAGGATAGGAAGGGAGAGGGAGAGAGATAGAAACATCAATGATGATAGAGAATGCAACCCTGAGCATGTGCCCTGACTGGGAATTGAACCATGACCACCTGGTTCATGAGTCTACATTCAACCACCGAGCCACACTGGCCTGACGTATCCCCTTGTTTTTAAACATTTATGGTCTGTCATTTTTTGTGCTTTTTCTTTTTTTTAACATTCTAATCTGGGTCCTAATATTTGTTACTGTCTCCACTGGTTAGACTTCTGATAAAGCTAATAAAGTAATCATAGGAATTAGGATGGCAAGGCCAAGATTTTGACTAGGTGATACATGCACATGGTATATAATAATTATACACTATACAAAAGAAACGGTTTTATAATGAAAAGTAAGCATCCTATCCCATGTATCCATTTATCCTGTTATTTCTATGTACCTTTTCAGAAGTATTTCACAACTGAGAGGAGATAGATGTGTTTTTGAAGGGCACATAAACAAGTATATGATTTTAATGTTTATTCAAATTAATGAATGGTTCAGATCTTTTTATTTTGAACATTTTGTTTTTCCTTTCTTACCTTATTTCTAATATTTCCATCGTGTTACAAAATAGCAACTATAGCTTATTGTTCATGATAAATTCAGGAATCAATAGCACAGAACTGATTAGAATTAGTTTCTAAAAAGTTTAGAAAAAAATACACAATTTAGACTTCTTGAAAAAAATCAGAATGTTAATCTTTTAGACTGGTGAAAATAATCTTATGACTTTATCAGTTTCAAGTTGTTACTAATCTTACTGAATTCTCTGAAGCAAAACATTTATTTTAAAAATTTGTTAAAAATAAAAATCGGTAGTCCTGCTATCTTGAGCATATTATTTGTCTTTTTCTATGCAGTTTATCAATGGTGCTAAGGAAATATGCTATGCTCTTCGAGCTGAAGGCTATTGGGCTGACTTTATTGACCCATCATCTGGTTTGGCGGTGAGTAATTAAATTAAAAGTTTGAAAGCCAGGTTATGTAACTTGAAGTAGAAATGGTTTTTATTATTGCGAAATTCTTTGTAACTATAACCTTGGTAAAAATAGATCATTTAAGACTTTTTTCAAACCTCACAATTTTACCCAAAAAAGTACCACTATGAGTCAGTTGCATTCACAACTTGGAGGGACCCCTATCATTCATACTTAGGTTTCTCCATCACTTTAAGGATTTTAAAATTAAAAATAATAAAAGTTATTTCCATCCTCATTATTTAATTTATATTGAATTGATGTGTTTATTGTTTGTTAGTTGAAAATTACCTGTAGTTTCTTTAAGGAAGAAAAAATATTTTTAGAATTAAGGAAATATGGATGATAAAAGAGATATTTGGAAAAGTAACAATTTTAAAAATTAACACAGTTATATTTTGAAAATAACTGAATTACATTGTAACATTTTAAATTCTGGGTATGTTTTTTTGGTTAAAATAGTAATTTTTTAAAAAAATCTTCAGATAGGAATATATACTGTTTCTTTAAGTCAAGTAAGATAGAGTATAGACTAAAAATGAAGAACTTACTCTGGACTTTAGCTTCCTTTTCTTGTAAATGATAAAGATGAACCACAGATGATTATCTAAAATTTATTCCATCTTTAAAGGTGGTGCAATGTTATGCATTTGGTTCTAGATAACATGAAATTTGCTATATCATTCATTTCACATTTCCAGAATGCACAGGTATTGGGGGGAGAGGAGGTATTAGGGCAGTTTATTTGTTTCATGCGACCTTTTTATTATTTGTTTTTTAAAAATATTTGGAGTATTAAAATAGATACATGTTTATGTTTGCATGAAAATTATTGCTACATTGTCTTTCTTGCTAATGAAAATACTTCATTTTTTAAATTTCCTCCAGTTTTTTGGACCATATACAAACACCACTCTTTTTGAAACAGATGAACGCTATCGTCATTTAGGATTCTCTATTGATGACCTTGGCTGCTGTAAAGTGATTCGTCATAATCTCTGGGGTACCCACGTGGTTGTAGGAAGTATCTTCACGAATGCAACACCAGATAGCCATATTATGAAGAAATTAAGTGGAAACTAGCAGTAATGTCGATTTATTTACTGTACTATTTCTACTTAGCATTTGGGTTGATCTATAAACACTGTCAAAGGCTTCAGATTTTAAAATTTACTTATTTCTAGGTATTTATTTCAACATTTGTAAATTTACAGCATTGACAAGGATTTGTGATTTTTAAATCTCAAAAGTTCATATTGGCTGTGAATACATGTTAAGCACATCCACATTGTACAGAATGTGGTAAATAACATGTAACTATGGTATGATCTATTGTTACTGCTCCCCTTTATTGGAAAAACCTTAATTTTAATTATTTTCTCCCAAAATAAATTATACATTTGCTTATGGTATTTTTTTTTCATTGCAATATTTTTTAAATGTGGTGCTTAAGACTCCTAAGAAATTGTATTAATCTTTATAAAGTAGTTTTTTTATGAATGTGATTGAAAAGTCTAGATTTAACTTTTCCTAATTTTCTTTTTTCTTATACCAGTCTTGAGTATTACTTTGAAATAATGTACATATAGGAGAAGAATAAGAATAATACTACATGTATAAAGGCATATGAATCTCATCCTTATATATATTAAAGGAATAATTCTTAACTTCTTGGTTGTAATAAATAAATGTGGATTATTTTGAGACAAAACTATGCCTCAAGCTGTTAAATCATATCTCTCCAATTTTAACAAAAGATGCAAACTGTGAGACATTACAGCAATACCTCATTTGTGACAGAGCTAGTTTTTACAGCATTGTGAACTTTTTAAAAAAATCACACCTTTTCATTGGTGAGGCTTTGCCAGTAGGAATAGAGACAAATCTCAGGAGAACAAGTAACTTCTACCAAATGAATTATTTCATTTTTGTCACATTTGCAATTTTACTTCAGTGTACTTACATGAAATGCCATAGTCATTAAATACGCTTCCTTAAAATGAAAACAGGCTAGAAAGATGAGGTCGCGATGTTATAATCTGCTTTGATCTTGTCGTATATAAAAATAGATGCTCTCCTAGCTGGTTTAGTTCAGTGGATAGAGTGTCAGCCTGTGGACTGAAGGGTCCCGGGTTCGATTCCCATCAAGGGCACATGCCTGGGTTGTGGGTGTGATCCCCGGTAGAGGGCATGCAGGAGGCAGCTAATCAATGATTCTCTCTCATCATTGATGTTTGTATCTATCTCTCTCTCTCTCTCTCCCTCCCTCCCTCCTTCCCTCTCTCCCTCTCTCCCTCTTACCTTCCTCTCTGCAATCAATAAAAATATATTTTTTTAAATTAATAAAATAAATATTTCAGTGGCATCTTAACCTCAACCCATTCAAATGAATACAGGCTCCTTTATTTAAAAAAAAAAATAGATGCTCTAATTGCTTTAATTTTATTTTATGTAAGATTATATTTAACTTATGACTTCTTGCATATTCTGGCATAAAGAGCAATATTCCTATATTTTAGAGGAGTGGCGATTTAATGATACAAAAAGGCATTTTTTAATAAATTATAGTACAGTTAATCAAAAATTTTCCCTTGTATGGTTAATGTTCTGTCCTATTTTTAAAAAGGCATAAAACTTTTGAAATACTAGGTTGTATTCGTAGCCTAGTTTTGCTGTAAATTGAATTTTTAGTAGTTGTTAAAGACTAAAAAGCCATTTTTGTCACAAACTTCATGAAGAAGCATCTGCCAAAGGTCCAGTTTTGTTACTGGAAGATGCTCCAGCTCACTGTCCATCACATGGGTGTCCAATAACAGATTTTAACTAATTTAATGATGGTTCAGAACAGGAATCCAGATTTGATGGGGTCAAACTGGAACTTTGTGTCCACTTTAATCCAAAAACCTTGTGTAGAGAGATCCCCAATTTGTTTCAGATTAGTTCAATCTGTTTTACAATTACAGCACAATTCAAACTGTATTTAGTGACATATACTGCCTATCTCCCAAATGTTGCATGGTACCTACTAATACTAAAAAGTTACTTCCTTTTTATCTGAAATTTAGGTTTGTCTTACGGTCCTCGATTTTCATTTTTTAAATCTGATGACTGAACAGCAGCATTGTTATCAAACAATAACTTTTTTTAATGGTGAGATTATAGAGGAACTTGAAAGAAACCAAACTTAAATTTTTTAAGCATACAAACACCTACTGAGATTGAAAAGGGTACAATAGCCTGGACCACATGGCTCAGTGCTTGAGCGTCGACCTATGAACCAGGAGGTCAGGGCACATGCCTGGGTTGTGGGCTTGATCCGCAGTAGGGGGTGTGGAGGCAGCTGATCAGTGATTCTCATCATTGATGTTGCTATCTCTCCCTCTCCCTTCCTCTCTGAAATCAATTAAAAATACATATTTTTTTTAAATGAAAGAAAGGGTACAATCTTTGAGCACCCTGAAAAGTCAGCACTTTCAGAATTAAACGAATGCTTTAATGACTCATCATTTTTATTTCAGGCTTTTGCCTTTGATTTTTTATGGTTACTGTTCATTGATTGCTATATTTTTATTTCTTCAGTTTGTTTTAAAACTGTAAGTTAGATCCTTAGCATTGGAATAAGCAGTATTTTTTAGAACTTAATTACAGAGGAACATGAGATTCATTTGTTATTTGCTTACGAGCATGTGACTCTATATACCCTTAGATAAAAAGTTATTTTAAATAATACAAATTTTATCTCCAATGTCACTCAGTCTTAATTGTAAAATACCAGATTTGGAGCACCTTGAACTGAAGTAAATCACTAGCAGGGTCAAAGAAGACTTCCTTCTGGCACTGAGTAAACTGGCTGGGAAAGAGCAAGGCAAATTGTTTACTGCATTGTAACTAAGTTATGGTAATAAGATTTGTTCTATATTAAGCCTGGGTGAGTTAAAATACCTTTGCAGAGTCAGGTGGTCACTCATGGGAGATAAATTAACTTTCCTGGGACAGGGGTATGAATTAGTGACCTGAAAGAGGCAATTAATCTCAAATGGATGAGCATTTGGCTGTTAGATTGCTCTCCATTTATGGTTCTTTTAGAACCCGTGTAGATCAACACAGCGTGGTTTTATGCAGATAAGCCCAAAGACCTACATTGATTCAAGACAATAATGTCTCCAGGTGGCAAAAAAATCATTTTACTTAATTGGAAAAAACAAACAAAGTTGGTCAAGAAATCTACAATGGAGATAAAACTAATATTAACACTGAGACTATTAAATGTTTTATGGATTTTATCATGGAACTTTTGTATATATCAGTAAACATAAGTTTCTCCAAGCAAATTTGAAGTGTGGCAATAAAAAGTTATATATACCATTTAGGTCTATCAGAATTCCTAGCCTGCTTTTCAAATTAATCCTGCTTTCTATTTTAAATTATTTTTCACTAGTGACTTAAAGACTAAAAGCTTAAATAGCCACTTTTCCAACATTGTGATTATTTTGAAGGGTAGCTAAAAAGCACTGAGATTAATTTCATAAGTAATGTGTAAAAATCAATTTCATTTACAATCATTTCCAATAGTAGATCTCTACTATTGTGGGTACTGGACGGTTTGGCCCCAACTGTCTAGAATTACTTTTAGCTGTTGGCCTTTCCACTTCATAGTGCTGCCCCTTCTTTTCAAAGTGAAGAATAACCTAATGCTAATAAGTATCCTTTCACATAATATACATACATACATACACAGGCACATACCTTGTGAACAAGACAACTTCTAAGAGCAAGGTAGTTATATAGGTGAGGTATGTTTATTTTATTTAGATCCACAGTGTGAATGTCTCAAATGGATAAAACCTCTAGTTTTGTACTTGGGACTTTGCCAGCATTATTTAACCCTCTGCTCCTAGGTATATAAAAACATGAGCTGCAATAATACATTTGGACAATAGGTGTCACCATCTAATTACCTAGAAATACCTCAAATTTGGGTCTTTTATTTTGCAAAGAATCTGGGGCTTCTGACTTTGTAAAAATGTATTCAATTATGTGCTTGAAATTTAAACTATTTAGAAAGAGGTTCCTGTACATTGCTAATGACTTAATTTCTTCACTTTTTTCCTTAAAGCTGTTACCCAGATGCCATTAATTAGTCTATGAAACTAATCATATTATCTTTAAAACAGAAAATGAATCTCCAGTGCAGTAAGTCAGATTGTTCAATAGTCACACATGTCATTGTTTTTATTTATAAAAAATTATGAGCTCCTGTAAAGGTATCAATTTGTTACAGTGAATCTAATGGCTTGAATTCATAGCTTGGTAAGTAAAAACAGAAAAAGGCATAGAAATACTGATGTGTTTTGAGTATTCAAAACATACCTTTTATTTGTTGGGTGAGAAAACACAAAACCTTTAGTCATAAGTGATTTGCCCCAGGTCGCATTAGAATCTAGATTTCCTGAATCTTAACTAATGTTGAATTGGTGATTTCTGATAATTCAGCCAGGTTGTTTTAAAATTAATACTCTTTATTTTAAAAAATTTCAAGTACAGTACGGGCTTTTGAAATATCAATTTATATTACCTGATCATCTGTTTTTAATGCAATCTTATTAAGATTCTTCCCCATTCTCAGAGAGGAAATGTAAGTTGTTCACAGCACTCTCTTTGTTTGGCAGCTCTGCTTCTTTTATCATATCAGTGATGACAGGAATGGTAAGAAGTCCTGTCGAACAGTGGTGCTAGAAGTAATGAAGAAAGGCCAATACCTTTGATATAATAAATTACTGGATTTCTCAGTAACATTTGTGTTTTATAATTATACTTGTCTGGCTATAAGAAAGCACCTTTATTGTTGAAATCCCTTACTCAACAATAATATTATGAATCTAAAACTCCTATTTTTGCCATTGACTTTCTTTTTTGAGCATGTAAGATTTCTTAGGTATGCAACTGTATTACAGTAGTACGGACAAACGGACAAGTGAGATAATGAGGGCTACTGATTTATCTTGAGCAGTGAATTCAAGCATTCTGTTATACACATTGACAATTATTTATTAAAACAGGTTACAGCAAGGCCTTTGCTAGTTACTTCAGTTATTGCTTGCTATCACTATAACAATAGGAAAATAACAAATGGAATAATTTAAAATTTTTAATTCATTGAATATTTCAAAAACAGCATATCTTTTTGTTTTGTACTCAATCATCCCTAATATATGTGTATTCTGACTGATTTATTGAAGTTTGACTTTATTCTGATTCCCCTTGGGTCTGCTCCAAGTTAGAGCTGATAGCATGTCTGGAGCCTTTGGAGGAGACAAAATTTGAGCTGCCCCTAGAGCAGCAAGTAGTATTTAATAGTGATAATTTGAATAGTAAAAGGATGCCAGGTCCTAGGAGTGTTGTATGGAGAAGA